AAGGTGTTGTTCAAGAGGTCCTTGCTGGGTCTTGCCTGAGCCTTGAAGTCTACGAAATAAACGACGTCAGCCATGCTGAGCAGTTTTACAAGGCGCTGGCCGAGCACAAGTACCGTCTCGACCAGGGTGAGAACATGAGAATTATTCTTCTCAGGATGATGCCAACATCATACCGCCTCCTCATCGGTTATCACCACATCAACATGGATGGCGTCAGTCTTGAAGTGGTTCTACGAGAACTGCAACTCGGTTACGATGGTCAAAACCTCTCCCCGGCACGAGACATCATGCAGCACCCCGATTTCTCCAACCAGCAACGATTGGACTACGATTCAGGACGCTGGTCTGAGGATCTTGCCTTCTGGCGCAACGAGTTCAGAGGCCAACCCCCTCCAGTGCTTCCTCTTCTTCCCTTGGCTAAGGCACAGTCCCGCGTGCCTCTGACGACTTACTCAACAACCACGATCGAGTTCTACCTTGACGAGGAAACTTCGACCAATATCCAGTCAACCTGCAAGATGCTCAAAGTTTCACCCTTCCATTTCCACCTTGCCGTCTTCTACACCCTCTTGGCTCGGTTGGTCGACGTTGATGAGCTTTGTATCGGCGTTAGCTCAGCAAACCGACAAAGCCCTGAGGCCATGGAGAGTGTCGGTTTGTACCTGAACCTTCTTCCCCTTCTCTTCAAAGTCGACCAAAATCATACCTTCGCCAACGTCCTCAAGCTAGTCCGGACCAAGGCTCTGAACGCCTTCAGCCATGCAGTGGTACCATTCGATGTCATCGTCAAAGAGCTCGGCGTCGCAGGAACTACCTCGCATAGTCCGATCTTCCAGGCCATGGTCAACTACCGCCCGGGAGTATCGGATGCTCGCCAGTTCTGCGACTGCGACAGCGAAATTCTGACATTCAAGCAGGGTGACGTGGCGTATGATCTGACGTTGGACATCATTGAGAATCCTGGTGGTGCGTGCCGTATCATGCTCAGCGGCCAGTCGGTCTTCTATGGCAAGTCAGAAATGGCACATATGAAGAGCATATACTTGGAGCTTGCGAACTCCGTCTCTTGCAACCCGGCAACTCGATTGAGCGCTGCTCCTATCTACCGCTCAGCTGACATCAAGGCCGCCATCGAGCTTGGACGAGGTAAGTTTGAGTTCCCAGTACTTGTGCCTGGTATCTCACGATGGCTGACCCGGTTTTCCTAGGACCCTTCCAAAAGCCGAAATGGCCAGCCACCTTGGTACATCGGATTGACGACATGATCGAGCGCTTCGGCGACAGAATTTCTGTCAAGGACGGCAAGGCACCCAGCATCACCTACCGAGAAATGTCACGAAGAATCGGGACCATCAGCAACGCTTTAAGCAAACATTGTACCCGCCCCATTGGCATCAACAACAAAGTCGGAGTTCTCCTCGATCCCGGCTTCGATTGGATTTGCTCAATGTTGGCCGTTCTTCGCCTAGGGGCAACCTACATACCTCTCGACATCACCATCGGCTGGGAGAGACTATCGTCCATCGTGCGAGATTGCGAACCGGATCTAGTTCTGGTAAACAATCGAACAGAACCCGAGGCTAAGCATCTCCAACACACCATTGCATCTGAGCAGCTGGTCAACGTGGAAGCTCTCGCCACAGCTTTGAACCAACGCGCAGGCCCCATCGCTGCCCAGTCAGGCCTTGCTGCGGCCCTCATGTACACCAGCGGCTCGACAGGTGTACCCAAAGGGATCGTCATGAAGCACGAATCGTTCCGCAACACTGTGGAGGTCTTGACAAAGATGGTGTCTTACCGTGAGGGACAAGAGACATCCCTCCACCAGAGTTCCTACAGCTTCGATATGTCCCTCAGTCAGATCTTCCTGGCTCTTTCCAATGGAGGCACGGTCCACGTTGTGCCGAGGGAACTACGCGGCGATCCGGAAGCCATCGCTTCGATCATCGCCAAAGAGGGCATCACGTTCACGACCGCGACCCCGTCCGAGGCTATCAGCTGGATCGATTACGGAGATGCCGTAACGCTCGGCAAGTCTTCCTGGAGAAAGTTGCTGAGTGGCGGCGAGCCAGTCAGAGAAAGTCTGACCAAGAGCTTGCGCAAGGTTGACAATCCCGACCTGGAGCTCGTCGACTGTTACGGCCCTACAGAGATCACATTTTGCTGCAGTACTAGGCTTGTAGACTACCGCCTCGAAAAAGCTCCCAGTACCGAAGCGGAAGGGTTCAAGACTTGGCCCAACTACTCTGTCTACATCCTCGATGCCAACCGAAAGGTTGTTCCTGCCGGAGTTCTCGGTGAGATCGCCGTCGGCGGTGCGGGTGTTGTCGCTGGATACAGCCACCGCGAGCTCAACAACGTTGGCTTCGCTCAAGACGCCTGGGCCTCTTCAGAGTTCTCACAGAGTGGTTGGAATCGACTGCATGTGACTGGAGACACTGGCAAGCTCAACCCGACCGACGGTACGCTCATTCTCAGTGGAAGAATTGCGGGAGACACCCAGATCAAGCTTCGAGGCATGCGCATCGACGTTCGTGAGATAGAGTTGGCCATCGTGCAAGCCGCCGAGGGCAGCATCTCCGACGTGGTGGTCGCCGCCCGAGAGTCCAAGGCCACCGGCGCCAGTTCATTGATTGCATTCGCCCTGACAGCTGGATCAAAAGCTTCCCAGGACCTCAGCCGCGTTCTGGCTCGGCTTCCTTTGCCCGGATACATGCGTCCAGCAGCCATCATTCCTCTCGATGAGTTCCCCAAGAATCCTTCCGGCAAGGTCGATAGGATCGCTTTGAAAAACTTCCCGCTGCCTAAGGCCCAAGAGTTGGAGATTCAATCTGCGGGTCATGGTGATGTTAAGCTGAACGACATTGAATCACAGCTGTTGCAGCTCTGGTCACAGCTCATATCACTCGAGGTGCTCTCGCAGTATCAGATCACCAAGGAATCCAACTTCTTCCACGTCGGCGGGAGCTCTATTCTGCTCGTCCAGTTACGAGCCCTGATAGAGAGCTCTTTCGGCACAAAGGTCACCCTATTCCAGCTGTTTGAATCGGGTACGTTGGCAGGCATGGCGGCAGTCATCGCCTCACTTTCATCCGCATCCTCGGAGACGCCAGCAGCACAAGCCCTCACCTCCACCACCGAGATAGACTGGGAGAAGGAAACCAGCATCTCTCCTGATATTCTCCGTGTGCGCGGTGAGCGATTCCACTTCGGAAACCCGACCGTCGTGGTCCTCACGGGAGCCACAGGCTTCTTGGGCCGAGCCATCTTGACACGCCTGCTCGAAGACAGCGTCGTCGAGAAGATCCACTGTATCGCAGTCCGCCGAGACGTCCAAGACGAGATCTTCCGCTCGCCCAAGGTTGTTGTGCACCACGGAGATCTAGCGGCTCCGCACTTTGGTCTACCGGAGAAGACGCTTTCTGACATCTTCTCCAAAGCACACGCCGTGATCCACAACGGCGCTGATGTTTCCTTCATGAAATCTTACGCCACCTTGAAGCCGGTCAACTTCGAGACCACAAAGAAGCTTGTGCGTCTCAGCCTGCCGCACCGGGTTTCCTTCCATTACATCTCATCGGCTAGCATCGTCCAACTTACGGGACAGGAGACCTGGGGTGCCGAGTCCGTCAAACCTTACCCGCCACTTGCAAGCAGGAACATGAGCGGATACATCGCAACCAAGTGGGCCAGTGAGCGATACCTTGAGAAGATTAGCGACCAGTGCGACTTGCCCATCTGGATTCACCGTCCCTCTTCCATCAAGGGGGCGGGCGCACCGGCGGGCGACCTGATCTCCAATCTGCTGCATTATTCGAAAGACATCAAAGCCATGCCCGACGTCAGCTCCTGGAACGGTTGGCTGGACTTCATCACAGTGGAGGGCGCGGCTATGCAAATTGTAGATGAGATTTACAAGGATTACTCTTGGCCAGGCCGGGTCGCATATCTCTACGAGAGTGGTGAGGAGATTGTTCCGTTGACGGACCTTAAGGCCACTTTTGAGCGCGATACTGGATATGCGTTTGAGGTGCTGGCGATGGATGAGTGGGCGACACGAGCCGAGTCCAAAGGAATGAGCGTGCTACTTGGCGAGTATCTACGTGGCGCGGCCAATGCGCCAGTTACGCTGACGATGCTGCAAAAGGAAGAAGCCTGGCTTTGAGAGTTTAGCGGTTCTTCCGCCAGCTTGATGATGATCATGACATGGAGTTCCAGGAGTTCTGGAGATGGTTCTTATTTGTAACGATGTTTCTTTTGTACTTGATAGCGTATTATGATTGAGCACATGTATCTCACTGAAACAGTGGTATGTCGGTGTGAAAGATGATGACGTTCTTCACATCTTGCCAGCTCAACTCACGCGATAGATACATGTAAGCTCCCAAATGACCTGAATATGCAGACAATCACAAATACCCTCTCATTCTCTCTAATTCAAGAGTCCACGTGCGCAATATACATGTGATGTGACAGTACCTTATTACCCGAATCACTCGCAGGGCTCGCGTTACTTCGTATTGACATCTTGCAGTGCGGTCCAGTCAATCACACCATTGAAAGGGTCTTGAAGTTGCTCAATCCTACCTAATGTAACCATACTCATGCAAGATTCCAAAGTAGAGAGTCAATTCCAGCTTCCTACCTAAATCTGTAAGATTTATGGCACAAGCCTTGGTCAAGTGTTACAGAGGGGTAGGTTTTCCTCCAGACGAGCCCCCATGCTTTCTGTCTTACCAACTACATGTATCGACAGCGATCACTTCCCTGGTGAGCAGGGTAGCTACTCAGCGCCATGCAGACAGCCCTCCCCCCATACAAGGCGCCGAAGTCCCGACCGAACGCCCTTCTTGTTTCGGCCAGGGGCACTCCGATGTCTCCGAGTCCGAAGACCACACAGTCACCGATATGAGAGGGGTATACTGTAAGGCACAAGATGAACCTCAGAACCTTGATGACAAGCTACGTACTCTAGTGACTCTACCAAACATCAAGCAACATCAAGCTGTAGATGCAGATGAGATTCTAACCTCTATCATGGTGGTGGCTGATTCCTGTGACCGCTTCACGTCTTTGATGTAAAGCCTCGGATCCGCCTTCACAAATATCTGACGGAACTCTGAGAGTGTGCGCTCTTTGCCGTTGAAAAGAGACATCATGTCAACATCATAAAGAACAGATGCGAGAGACGGCGAGTGGTCTTGAACGATTTGATCGCAGATGAGGATGCGGCTGCGCTTTGCGTCCATAGCCGGAACAATCTGTCGCACAATCTCGACACAAGCGTCATCAGGCCAATCGTGAAGGATATGGCGAAGATGGTAGACCGCAGCGCCTGTGGGTATGAAGACTGGTCAGACCGTGATGCGAGCATGTGACTGTGACTGATGATGCGCAATTGGAACATACCTTTGATCGGTTGAATGTTGAAGAAGTCGTGTTGTTGCAGGGTCAGATCCAAGTCGCCTCGCGGGTTTCTCGTATCATACGACACGGCATGTTTGTCCTGAACCACACAGCGGAGACCTGAATCAGGGAAGGCCTCCAAAATCTTTCGGCTAACCTGACCAAGGCCACCGCCAACGTCGACGATGAGGCCTCCGTCGGCAACCAAACTTTCCCAAGGATATAATCTCGGGATTTCGCCCAAGCTGTTGATGGTGACAGCTTTCATAGCCTGATTGAAGTTGTCACCACGTTCGAGGTCGATGTTGGCAATGTAATCCCAATAAGTGCCCTCGTAGCCAAAAGCCAAATTGAATCCGCAGGAGTCGCCAGGCTTGGGATTGCGGAATCCGCTCTGGCGTAGAGCGTCCGGCTCTCGACTGGCAGATCGGAATCCCTCTCCCAGGCGATGGAGAAGGAGATGATGCATGGCCGGGCCCTGCATTGCCCACGAGATGGACGTATGGCTGTAGTAGCCCGGCTCAGGTTCGTCGAAGACAAAGTTGGTCATAACGACACGCATGATACGAGCCAGCAGGCTCTCTTCTACAGAGAGAGAGTCTGCTAACTCCTTTCTCGAGATTCGGCCATGTTGTGGAATGTTGTCTCCTACCTTTAGGTCCAAGACAACTTTCAGGCACGCGCAAAAGTGAAACTGAAACTCTTGTTAGGCACGAAGATACTGAAATGCGGCTGACGTTGTGATGAGAGCGACGGGGGAAAACATGTGTTTCTTACCTGCAAAGAACTGAGAAACAAACTTGTTCCGGGATCCAAAGTCGTTGCTAGGATCTGGCGTGCAAGCTCGGCAATTCTTGCCTTCTCTTGCACCGCTTTGTTGCTCTTCAGAGCAATGTTTGAAGACATACTGGGTGATAGAGAAGGCTCGGGCAGGCCCTCCTTCTCCAAAGCTTTGCTGTATGCCGCCATACATTGCACGAGTTCTGCTCCTAGTTTTTCATATCGGCTGGGAGCGAAACCATCACTCCTGGAAAGAGTGAATGGTTTCGGGACGATCGGGTTGATGATAGCGCTTTGGGCCAGCATTGTGTACAGAAGATCTAGAGTGGACTGTTCTAATTGAAGTAGTTTCTAGTCAACTTGATATCGCGGTGTTGACGTGACGCGCATGTGGTCACATGGTGGACAAACGTAATCTGCAAGTTAACGATCCAAGATCTTTTATTTATACATCTACGAATGGTGTCTATTTCTCGTACTCCATCGTCGACAGACTTCGGAGCAGGACGATAGTACGATTTCGGAGCGCACCAACAGTTCAGCTCCGGATTACTTCTAAGATTGAGCTTCGGAGAGCGTCCACAGTTCTCCGTCATTGAGCTTCGGAGGCAGACACTAGTCTTGGTGTTTCTTGTTCAAGTCAAGAATAAACAAGCCCTGAGCAAGGAGTTCCATTCTCTGTGTCCTTTCGGCGGTAGGCAATCCTCTTAGACAATAACTAAACTTGCGCGAATCAAGTCGCTTCGAAACAGCACTAACGCGGGAGCTATACTCAATTGTGGTGTAATAATTACATACCAGGGTATTGGGAAGTCCCTATTTCACCATCCCGTCAGTGCGGGAATGTTTCATCGCTTCGTAATCTTAATTTTCATTGGGCTCTATTCTTGCTCGGTATCGCGTCAGACGCTACGAGCAGACTGTACTTTACCATATTGGGTAATCTTTTGCCGACCTCTAAATAAGCTTCCCAGCGCCGAACCATCCTCCGAACTCTGAGAGAGTGGATTCCATCCATAAAATCCTCGTAGGGTGTCGGACGAAGGGTAAATTACAGGGCCTATCCCAGGCCACCATGCCAGTTGCCCCTCACCGAATGCAGCCCGGAGCTCACGCCGGCACCTTTCAGCGACTCCGAGGCCTATCGGAAACTCAATGCCGCTACCGTAACACTCTTTGGACTGCACCAGGGCTCGCGCATTAGCTGACGGAGCTAGAACAAGGTATTAAGCAGTTCATCCGTCGTGTGGAAGATAGCGTTGACAGTCAGCCCGCCGGGCCAATTATTGTTCGGGTCCTAGAGCCCTGCTGAACTGTACCCTAACGTAGGAGTACCTCGGGAATTGAACTTGTCCGCCAATCTTGGCACCGACAAGCCCCCAGCTAGGTACCATGACATGCATTACACCGTCGTGTTACCACCCACTTCGTCCGGCCCAGCTGTGCGGCATCTGGTCTTAACTCAGGGAGGAGACCGAATCTGCGGCAGGCAGACAACACATGCCGGACAAGTGAGTCGGAAGCTTCGCGCCCTTGCCGAGAGACTCTTCAAGCCAGCCGATAGGCTCGCACTTGCGCAGACCGAGGCATGTCAAGAAAATGAACAGCTTTTCCGTCAATTTCTGACTCAAGCAAGCAAGCTCATAGGTTTGAGTGGGATGTTATGCGTACGTGGCCGCCGAGGAAGTCCGCCGAGCGCGAGGTACAACAAGCGGAGATACATAATGGCGAGATGGCGGTAGAATCCAAGTCGGTAAAGAGCGCCGATAGCTGCTTCAAACAGCATAAAGCTGCAACTTATCAAACCAGATAACTGTTTCTTGCGGAAGCCTAAACACCAACATGACGGTGCTAGGCATTTAGCAAAGCCCAGCCCGGAAACAGAGAGTCTCAAGTAATTACCTAAGACCTGTCATACTAGCTCCTCCAAGTAGATGGCTAGAGCATGGATGAAGCTGCGATGGTAAGGAGCGGTATAAATGCAAATCTCTAAATGCGTCGTGTGCTTTGGCCATGTCGTGACTAGTCAGGAGCTGAATCCTCGATAACTGATCGCACCGAAAGAGGGCCCCAAGAGCAAATGAGACAATGAGTGATCTGAGAGTTCACCTTGTGAGAAGCTGTGTGGCGTCAAATGGCAGGAACCCCAATCGGACAATCTGCCCGCGTGGCACGAGTAGTGGCGAGCGTGCTTAACTGCCGTCACAAGAAAGACGGCAGTGGCAGATATCGCGGTGTATTACTCCAAACTGATAAGCTAATGCAGGGGACAGCAGTTAAACTTCGTCCAACGGTCCCGGCCGTAAGTCTGCCAATTCCGCCAAGTTTTACCAAGCCCAACGAGCGGACCTTCTTGCCGACCAACAAAGACGCAAACAAGAGAGTTGATTGGAATGATATGTCGTCAAGGGTAGGTACGGGTTCAGGTGTCAATCAACATCCCTGGACTGCAACAGGTTCATGCTACCCATAATATAAAGCCTCGCTCAACATACAAGCTGTGACAGAGCGAGTCATTGGTCTCAGCAAGGGAAGACTTGCGTTCATTGGAGACATACCATGAATTTGGAAAGAAGCAGCTGGTTAGGACATCAGATGGTGTCATCAAGCCCACTCAAGGCCAGCGAAACTGTATCTGGATTCGTTGGTAAACCTTTCGCATAAGCTTCTTCCCTTGTCTGAACAGGAGACTTGAGAAGTGCGACCCATCCGCAACTACACTTGATGGAGGGGTATCTGGCATGTATAATAACTCCAGCACTCAACCGCCCGAATATCGAGTCACGAGCAGCATCTCCACCGCTTCCTCGTCCCCGGGACCCTCAACCAGTCCCACTCTTACCTCATTATTCAGGATACTGCATGTTTCTTCCGGATCATAGACCAGTTTTCCATGTCGATTGCCCCCATGGCTTCTAGATCTCCTACATTTTTCACCGTCGATAATACAAGCAATTCATACATCAGGAAGTCCGCCTCTCAAAGCGCTCGGCGAAGTGCGTGCGACCGATGCCGCGCTTACAAACTCCGTTGCGTAAGGCCGTCGGACGAGATCCCATCGCCCGAGCGCAATGAAGCATCATTGATGCCATGTGCGCGATGTGTCAAAGCAGGCGTCGAGTGCGTTCGTGTGGCGCACGCACGTAGGTCGCCAACTATCCGCCCAAGTGGCTATGAACGTCGGCTGGCTCGACCTCCTCCCTTGTCACTACCCGCGTTCAACCAACCTGCAAATAATCGCCGTACTTCTGTCTCCGGACCAGGAGCCAAATCATATCATGACAGGTCGACCTCACTCAGCGTGTTCCCTTCACCTTTGTCAGCACACCCTTCAAGGGAGGACTGCACCACTGGACAGATGCCACGCACAGTTTCTCCAATGGAATACCAGCACAACAATGTCTTCGCGCCAGCATCATCATCAGATGCGCCGGTCATGTCTGCAAAGTTTCCGCCACTCCTACCAATGGACAGCAATGACAGGACCGGACCTGACGTATCTTACGGCCTCGGTGATTTTGACCTTGATATCATGACATCAAACTCGCCGTTGGAAGGCATGCTTAATGACGATCTACAATCGACAAATCGAAATGGTGAAGCTATGGAATCCACTGACGATCAGGTCCGGGACCCTGATCAAAAGAGTCATCAAGACAAAATAACCATGGGCCCCGCAAAATGTTCCAAAACGAAAGGCCCGCCCAGAACAAAGCATGAATGCTTGTATCGACTTTCCAGTCTCAACTTGAAACTTTTGGACTGCCTGAGTGCTGCAGAAGATCATCCTATTACCCTTGAAGATATCCTGGCCTATAAGTCCCCCTGCGATACTTCAGAAACAAAGCCATGCAAGAACATCATAGGATTCCTCCTGGAGAGCTCCCAGGAGTTTTTGGATGCCGTTGAGGGGCTGAAAGATTTGATGGAACGACAAGAAAAAGAGACGTTGTACGACTCGTTTCATAATTCAGAGGAGTTTTTGGTGGACTCACTCGATACGTCCGTCTTCTTCGATAATGAGACAAGGAACAAAACCCGAAATGATGATGGAGATACTATCTACAGTCATTTCTCGGGAACCACGTTACACCCATCTGGTGGTGAAAATACGCCTGGCAGCACAACTTCTTCACACTCCAAGCGATCCGGTGGCCATTGCAGTGGTCCAACTACACTGACCATCATGACGTGCTGCATCTGGCTGTTTCACGGCTATGAAGCAGTCTTCGCCGCCATCCACAACGCCCTACTATCACAAAATCAGCAGCGCAAAGACAGACGGGCATCGCTGTCAGGGCACGAAGATCGCGTCGGCGACGTAAGCGATGCGCAGCACATTTCAACGCAATCAAAGAGCTGGAAGGTAGACTCGGCACCTTCTCTTCTACCCAATGTCCGCATAGGGGGTTTCCAGCTGGATGGGCACCCTCACCTGCAGATCGAAATGCTCATCTACATCAGTTGTCGGATCTTGAACCAAATGGAAAGTGTGTTGGGCATCGATCCGAGACCGGAGGAAACGGATGTAATGGACTCAGCCACGATGCCAGTGGCTGAACGCGGAAAAGGCTTTCTAGATCCTAGATGCACGCCTACATTCCTGCGGTCATTTCTCTGCGCAACTGATGGTGTTGAGAATGAGTGCAGTACCTCGGCTCCAACTACTTTGATCGAGTGTATAGTGAAGAAAATCAGACGAATGCTAGATATCATGTAATGAGACAGAATAAAAGCACACTTTTTTCCATTTGATTGTTGATTCTAAAGTCTTTCTTCAGCTGGACTTGAATGTGTTAAGCCGAGTCGATGTTATCTCCGAAGCCAATGACAACTGTGAAATCGCTATTGCTAGGACGGGTGTCTCCTGGATGATGTGCCCATGGCCTATCAGTTGATTGAGACGGAATAGGAGTAATGGATGTCAGCTCTTGGCAGATCAACCCCGGCATTCAGTTTGCCAAGACAAGGCACACCAGAAAGTGCACACATAACCCCGCGTATGTGAGTGAGTATACGTAGACAATATTACCTTTACATACTGTGCCCAAATATGATGTTTCATGGATCAAGAACCCATCGCTTCTCGGTATCCTACCCCTCTAAGGTTGCCATTACTGCTTCCTAAAATAATCATCTTCTGAAAGTGCCAGAAGACCCATCCAGACTTGGTAAGTAAAGTCTCTTTTATAATAGAATCACGAATCAAGTTCCAAGCCTGGCCAAAGTCAAATGTCAAGTCTCATGACACTGTGCCTACTTTTGCTTCTTCTCAGAGGCGGTACGGCCGTCCTCCGTGACCATCC